GAGAGAGAGAGAGAGAGAGAGAGAGAGAGAGAGAGAGAGAGAGAGATTACAAATCTGAGATCAGAATTTCGAAACGCTATATATATTCCACACTGTAAATCTTATTTTTAAGCTAATGTGTGTGAAAATGAAATCATACAAGTTTTTGTAGTCACCGATCACGAACTTAAGATTAGAATTGCAAAATTAAAAACAGTGGATTCAATATGGCGTCTCAAGTTAGCGATTTCGATATTTTTCAGATAATTTACACTATAAACTGGTGTTCTTGAAATTACTAATCACGAATCTAAGATCAGAAATTGCTGAATATAAAAACTACCGATTTCAATCATCATATTGGATCTGTTATTTTAAATTTTGAAATTCTGACTTTAGATTCGTGATCAGCAATTTTGAAAATTTCATGAGCAAGTTCTTAATCCGATTCGATTGATAGTTGACAAAAAGAAAGTGGTTGGTACCACATATGGTACGATTCGTCTTTCAAATATTAAACAATGTATTATGACATCCATGATAATGGTATGCGATTTCAGTCGCTGGAAGGTGCGAAAGTTCAACTACCTCCCGCCGATTATACGCGTGAGATAATCGGTACCAGGACAGAACAAAGAGTGAAGATGAACAGAATGCGTCTGCGTATAGCGGAACGTCTCAAGGATGCACAGAACACGAACGCTATGTTAACCACATTCAACGAGATTGACATGAGGTAATCTTACATTGAATGGCACAAATTATTTACGATTACAATTACATTAATTTAAAGCACTATTTGCAAAAGATGCACATAATAAAATATATATAATACGTATATTTTTTATGTTTACTTTTACATTTCTCTTCATTTAATGTCTTGTCATTTGCAGCTCTATTATGGAGTTCCGAAAAACGCATCAAGAGTCATTCACAAAGAAGTATGGTATTAAGCTCGGATTCATGAGTCCGTTTATCATGGCCAGTGCTTACGCTTTAAAAGACCAACCTGTAGTAAATGCAGTCATAGACGGCACCGACGTCGTATATAGAGATTACGTAGATATTAGCGTGGCGGTCGCGACGCCGAAAGGTCTCGTCGTGCCAGTACTTCGTAGCATAGAGAACAAGAATTTTGCCGATGTCGAAATTGCTTTGGCTGCTCTTGGGGATAAAGCCAGAAAAGGGAAGATCACCGTCGAGGACATGGATGGTGGCACCTTCACTATAAGCAATGGTGGCGTTTTCGGCTCGATGATGGGAACTCCTATCATTAATCCGCCGCAAAGTGCAATTCTCGGGATGCACGGCGTTTTTGACAGGCCGGTCGCCGTTAAGGGACAGGTAATTCAAAGGCATATTTATTCTTAAAAATATAGCTACTTCCATTTATAATATACAGCAAAAAGAGAACAAGAGAGTCTAGTTTTATATGTATAATTTTCTAAATTTTAATGTTTAAAGAATTTAATATTAAGTTTGCTTGGAAGAAAGAGAGAGATAACAATTAGCATGTATCGTGATTTCTTATCATACATATGTAGAAGTATATGATAAAGATTTATTACATGTTTTTTTTCTTGTATTCGTTATGAATTTCTCTTTTTATCCGGAAATTAATGATTATTTTTGTCATCAGGTTGTCATTCGGCCAATGATGTACATAGCTTTAACGTATGATCACCGACTGATCGACGGACGCGAAGCTGTGATGTTCTTGAGGAAGATCAAAGATGCGGTAGAAGATCCTAGGATTATGTTAGCTGGTCTTTAAAAATCGAAGACAACGTTTGTCACGTGTAATGCGCATTATTTAATAACTTTTACGACCATCGTGAATAGCGACGCGACGCGAGAGTCTGGAAAATGACAGGGTCTTCCCGCTTCAAAAAGTACTTATCATTGAAACTATTACGGCCTTACCACCTTATCTCAATTCTGTTTACTTTCTAAGTGTACGTGTCGGAAAAATTGTCACACGCAGCCACAAATAATGATAAACACGCCCGCTGCGCGGTTCTATTCATCTTGCCTTCTAGATTCTGAAAATATAAGGCAATTTTACTCGGTACATTAATCTATTGTTGGATGTGACTTATTATCGATTTTTTATGAGATATGGCAGCGCGCATAATAATTGCATAACTACTTATGCATAGTTACACGATATTCTACGTAACAGATGTTACAAATTACTATTTTTGCCCTTTTCGTCTTCATCTCACAAATTGGTAAAAGTCTAATGAAATGAATTCGATAAATGAAGGAAGCTAAGAAAGTTAGAAAATACTTGATTAGATGTAGATCCACAAGTTAAAATAAAATCTCATCAATCTACGTTTGTAGCATTGTTGAATTGCAGTCGTATCGATGATAAGAGAAGAATATTATATCCGCACTCTCGTTATATATTACGTCGAGTATCTCGAAGTTCTTTCGAGATATTTTAATTTTGAGTCGATTATCTATTGACCAAAGATCGATTATCTATTATCGACGAAATTTTTTATTCTATTATTTCTTAACTTACGAAATTTTTCACTTTTCAGTATTATACTTTTTTTCTAATTAGACCCGAAATAAAAGTTTTTTCAATAAAATTAAAATATTGATATTTATTATTGCTTAATTTGGAAATTAAGTATAAAATGAATTTTTTATTATTTGTCTGAGATTTAGTTTTCTTTCCATATTTAATTCTTTGTTATATGAAAGTTATTTACGCCTCGATACTATAAAAAATTTTTTTTAAAATTAGTTACTTAAAATTAGTTATAACATTACAGCAGAATGAAGAAAGTTGATCTGAAACACGCTGTATGCTTTCCGATGGAAAACGTAACTTTGCACTTATAGAGAAACGGAATATTCCTATTACTATGCAATCTTGTAAATCAAAATTGTTTTAAAATAAACAAGTAATGCTACGTGGCATGTTTTATAGCGGGAGATCTTTGACGTTGCGTTAGCGTACATACAAACAAAGTACACTGCCAGAGCGCGTACGAATATTTTAAAAAGCCGAGTGTTTGATACGAGTTTTACTCGCGCGCGAGTTTACGTGTTATATTGATAACAGCATACGTTATCGTACATTGTTGTCATCACTTTACATGTTTACATTGTCATCTTCTAGTGAGTGTGCGCTTTGTGCGCAAAGATATGTAAGTGCTCTTTTAGTCCTGTTGTAAAATATGTTGTACATCATTATTTATTAACAACGAGACACATAAAGCACATTAATTGAACATTGGACTCTTTGTATTATTTTAACTGTGACAGCAATAAAACCATTAATTAATTGCTATAAAGCCATAAGTAATTAAAACAAAATTTTTTAAAAGTAATTGTTTCATATTTACGTTAGTTACGAAAGAATTATGATGTCACAGAAACAAGAAAATATATAAAATAAGGAATACATATTTTATATATTTTAATAATATTAAAATAATAAAGCAGTTCTTTTTGTTTACCTATAATTAATTATATATAATTTTACTATGCATTACTCTTGCATTACTTTTGCATTACTATGCATTTACTCTTGCATTTTTATTTTTAATTATAAAATTTAAAAAAAATAATATACGTTATAATTTTTAGCTTATGAATTTTCTAAAGAACTTTACACTGCAGCTAAGTTTATCTAACAAATTCGAATGTCAGGTAAGAATTTAATATGATTGTTATATTAATAATTATTACACTATATTATTTATATGTATATTATAATTATATATATTACATAATTATAATACTAAAATTATAAATTTGATTAAGTCGATAAAAAAAATTATAGATCACAACCACAGAGTCTTACAAACTATCGCTGCAAGATGGCAGCAGTTGACATTTTCGACACAATTGGAGTTTTAGCGAATGACTTCGCCGTTTCGAGCAATACTGAAACGTTGAAGGAAAATGGTATGTCTGTCAAAAAATTTCCATAACTTCTATCTATTATGGATAATTTTAATTTTCCGGGATGTAAAATAGCATTATTATTTAACTATAATAGCACTTTTGCACGCTTATTAAATTTCTAACATTTACGCTATTCGGAGTTTTCTTAGGTTAACTATCTTTCAAACATTAACTTGTCTTTCTTAAATGTTTACCACAAAGTTGGTTGGATTTATTTTTAAAAGTTAGTTGGATTTATTTTTAAAAGAATTTTAGGAAGACATCTATATCAATAAAATCTCTTTGATGGTAAATGTTATAAAAATTGATTGATGGCAAATGTTATAAAATTGTGATAGGGTCAGAACCAGTCCGGTTCCGGAGGTACTGGAGGAGACAAGAAAGATGATAAAGACAAGAAGAAGAAGTACGAACCGCCGATTCCCACCAGAGTGGGCAAAAAGAAAAGACGTACTAAAGGGCCTGATGCAGCCTTAAAGTTACCTCAGGTAACACCTCATACACGGTGTAGACTGAAGCTTTTGAAGTTGGAGCGTATAAAAGATTACTTGTTGATGGAGGAAGAATTTATTAGAAATCAGGAACGCTTGAAACCACAAGAAGAAAAGAATGAGGAAGAAAGATCGAAAGTAGACGATCTACGTGGAACACCAATGTCAGTTGGAACATTGGAAGAAATTATTGATGACAATCATGCAATAGTGTCCACTTCAGTTGGATCTGAGCACTATGTGTCTATTTTGTCATTTGTGGATAAAGATCAATTGGAACCTGGATGTTCTGTATTATTAAATCATAAAGTACATGCTGTTGTTGGAGTTTTAGGGGATGATACAGATCCTATGGTTACAGTAATGAAACTTGAAAAGGCTCCTCAAGAAACTTATACTGATATTGGAGGTACTTTGAATAAATATTATATATATTTTATTATATTCCTTTTCTTTTTTATATAAAAAAACATTATAGTATTATAATTTTTAGTTAAGAATTATTAAAAATTCTTAAAACGTCTAATTTAAGGAATAAACTTTAAAAGTCAAGTTTAAGATTTGGTTTAAAACAAATTTTATGTGATTATATTTTTCATTAAAGAGAAACTGTTTCTGAAGCAGGCTATACATGAAATTAACATTTATGATTTGAAAATATTATATATTAAATATTTCCAGGCCTTGATACTCAAATTCAGGAGATTAAGGAATCTGTAGAATTACCATTAACCCATCCAGAATATTATGAAGAAATGGGTATCAAGCCTCCAAAAGGTGTGATACTTTATGGTCCACCTGGGACAGGAAAAACACTGTTGGCTAAGGCTGTAGCCAATCAGACCTCTGCTACATTTTTGAGAGTTGTTGGCTCAGAACTTATACAAAAATATTTAGGTGATGGCCCAAAACTTGTAAGAGAACTCTTTAGAGTTGCAGAAGAACACGCTCCTTCCATTGTATTTATAGATGAGATAGATGCTGTAGGAACAAAAAGATATGACAGTAACAGTGGTGGTGAAAGAGAGATTCAGAGAACTATGCTGGAATTGCTTAATCAGCTTGATGGTATATATATATATATATATAGTCTCTAGATATTAATATACAACACATGAATATTTTTACGAAATTTTTAAAAATAATATTCTGTGCAATTATTGCTAGGTTTTGACAGTAGAGGTGATGTCAAAGTAGTTATGGCTACTAACAGAATAGAAACTTTGGATCCTGCTTTGATCAGACCTGGTCGTATTGATAGAAAAATAGAATTCCCATTACCGGACGAGAAAACTAAAAGAAGAATTTTCAACATTCATACAAGTCGAATGACTTTGGCGCCTGATGTAAATCTTGCAGAATTAATAATGGCAAAGGATGACCTCTCAGGTGCAGATATCAAAGTAAGAACTTTATTTCTTGAGATATAAATATCCTGTATCATATAAATTTTGTTTTTGTTACACATTGTTCTGCACATGAACATAAAATATCCTGCGTATATATGTTATCTTTAGAATAAGCCATTTGAATCTGAAATAAAAATTTTGTTTCAGGCAATATGTACTGAAGCTGGTTTAATGGCTCTGCGTGAACGACGTATGAAAGTTACCAGTGATGATTTCAAGAAATCTAAAGAAAGTGTTCTTTATCGAAAGAAGGAAGGTTCTCCTGAAGGATTATATTTATAAAACACTTGTCACTACTGGTTTCTGTATAATTAAACCAGAGTTATTTACGCCTCTCAATAAAACTTTCTATAAGAAAGCTGTATTAATTATACAATGCATCTATAAAAATATCACCTTTTTATTTTGAAAAAGAAATTGTGTTCCATGATCCAATTATTTATTCCAAGAGACTAAAATGTCTATTTTCAAAGATTTAAACTTGTTTCAATACTTGATTCCTTTAAGACTGATTGAAAGTGTTCATGTAGCCTGTTTATTACATCTGTAGAGTATTTTCTTTGATTGTCCAGTACTTTAGAGAATGATATATTCTCATAATTGCAACTTTTATTTTGCGACTCCATGCTGCATATCCAACATACGCCTCGTTTAGTTTTATTAAGAGTAACAGTTACATCCGCAGGATGTTCTATAGTAGATGATGAAGCAAGACTCAGACTTTTATATTTCCCCAACATAAAAGCAATTTTAAAACCATCTTCATATCCTATATCAAAGCCCTCTTGCAGTACGGAGTCTGTTCCATTTTGTATACCTTCTCTATATCCAGTCTAAAAACATAATTTTACGTAGATATAACAATATATTTTATGAATATTCCGTGTCAATGATATCATAAATCATTGCTGATTGAAATTTTCAAAATACCTTTGCAGCAGTATTTATGACGCGTTGCCAACATTTTGATGCAATGTCCAAAGAGTCATCCTCTGCTGAGTACGAATCATCTTCCATCTTGTATTGTAAAATTACCTTTTATATTAGCGTTATATTTCAATATATATCATCGATAAAAGATAAATCAAACGAAATGATCTCTCACATATGCGAAACGTATCATATCATGACTATAGAAGTCTGTTGACTGCACCTAACCTCGAACAGTACTAAAGTACTGTAGTCATACCGCCATTGATTGTTAAAACACCGTGATATATATCTCTCTCTATATATACAGTGTTTCAGAAATAGGTGACCAAACTTTAAGAGCATATTTTACTTATTGTAAAAATAAAAAGTCATATAAATATGGATCAAACACTAAAAACACTTTATTAAACACTTTATTTACAACATATTTTGTATTGATGTATTATTATACATTATTCTTTATTATCTTCTATTAGAATTAAATTAGTTATCAGATAGGTCTGTTTGAAATTGGAATTAGTTTTTATTTAAACATTTAACATTTAGTATCAAGATGAAAATATATTCTAATACAAAATGTGCAGATATTTATTATATGTATGGGAGAGCTAATGAAAACTGCAAGAAACCACGTTTTTATCGATGAACAAAGATGATGTCTTAAAAATACTTTTATTTGAGTTTATTGTTAACTTAGGAAAACAGGATCTTTCTTACCCAGTATAATTAATCGTGTACATAATTTAAAAATAGTAAGGCGATAATTATACAATGTTATATATATTATGTATTTTGTATATAAACATATATATAATATTAATGTACAGCTACACAAGCACTAATTGACTACATATTAACATAAAAATTTACTGTGTGTAGGAATGAATTGGGATGCTTATAACACTCCTTTAATCGAAAATGATGGCAACCAGGAAGAGGAGTTACCACTTAATTGATCATACTTTGACTTATTTATAAGAATACTGGTCATAATCTTATCAACATCATGTGTTTGTCCATAATAATCAACAAACAAACCTTCTGGATCGACTAAGTATATGATAATTGTGTGATCCACCTGAAAAGAAAAAATAATGTACAGTCAAGTGTATAAATAGCAAATAAATTATGCTTCAAGAAGTACTAACAATATAATCATCATCTTGATCTTTAGGGCCGCTGCTAAAATAAACTCTGTATGCCTTGCATGCTTTTGCAACCTGTTCTGTATTACCAGTGAGACCAATGATCTTATCAGAAAATTCTTTGAGATACTTTTCAACAATAACAGGTGTGTCTCTGTCTGGATCTACCGATATGAAAACTGGTTGAATCTTGAAATTGAATTCTTTCTCTGTGAACAAAAGTAATAGCAATTACAAGTGCTTTTTGATTGATATAATTTACTTAATAATGTAACACTCACCAAGCTTATTCACTACATTTGTCATCTTTTCAATTTCATCAGGACAAACATCTGGACAGTGAGTAAATCCAAAATATATCAGTAACCATTGTCCTAGGAAATCACTGGACTTTACTGTTTTTCCTTTTGTATCTATTAGCTCAAAACTACCACCAATTTTAGCTTTGCCCAATTGTCGTTTCCTTTCTCGTGCTAGAGTCAAGTCTTTTTCCTTTCTCAAGTAATACATATATAACAAAAGACTAGTGCCGATGAGACTTGAGACTGTCAAGCTTTTCCATGTTATTGGTGACTTCTTTTTTATTTTCTTAGCTTGCTTTGGTAAAACTGACTCATATAAAGTCTTTGATGTACTTATGTACCTAAACTAAATGAAAACATCATTATTAATGAATGCACGAAAAGTTGTATGACAAGTTTTGCAAAAAAATAAATGTAAAACTCAAAATGTTACAATTGTGTCTTGGATTATAAGAACGTGTAAATTAGTTTTTTTTTTAAGTTACCTTCATGAGAACATTATTAGAAGTTCTGTTTAACGACACTAAAGATCTTAATATTAATATCGACATTGTGTTTTTGATATAAATTCACTTCAATCCAATATTAAGTTCAGAGGTTATGTTGTCAATCTAATCTTCAGTATACGCCGCGAATTTTAAATATATTTCATTTTCATGTTACAGATGTCTCTTTGTGCTTTCATTTCTACATAGCCAACTCTGCGTTTCGAAATTCACTGCTAGTATTGAAATTCTATAGTTCATGTCATATATACTATAGAATTTCAGCACTGGCAGTGAATTTCGAAACGCAGTCATATGGCTCCTGCACACAGTACGCGGTAATGCTTGCCGCGCGGCGGAAGTCCGCGCGACAGCCAATCAATATGCTGCTTTTCGTAATAACCTTCTAACTCTTACGGAAAAACAACATATTGATTGGCTGTCGCGCGGACTTCCGCCGCGCGGCAAGCATTACCGCGTCCTGTGTGCAGGAGTCAATAGGCCTGATTTATATCGTGCACTTAATACGCGTACTAAATAGTAACTTTCTATTAGATAATCTTAATATTGACAAAGCATATCAACGGCCACGCGTTCAATCAATACAATACGTTTTCTTGATGAGTATTATATCAGTTTAATATACCGTTGTTTATATATATATATATATATATATATATATATATATATATATATATATATCGTCGATATTAATATTATCTAATAAAAAGTTACTATTTAGTACGCGTATCAAGCGTACGATGTAAACCAAACCATTATTTCAAGACCGTCTTAAGTAAGGGTGTATATCAGTTGGACACGGGGCAATTGGAGACAGTCCAATTACAAGTCGCTGTTCCAAGGGACTCTACAAATGTCTCTAAGTACACGGTGCTATGATTGGCTATGTCCAAATGCACCGTGTCCAAGTGCACCGCTCCCCTTAAGTAATGTCTTAAGATGCGAATACGGCTCTGTTATTGGTTCATGACATCTTAAGACAGTACTTAAGATGATCTTAAATATAAGATCGGACTATGAATACCGGCCTTAAGACATATTTAAAACGGTCTTGAAATAAGATTCGATTATAACTACCGGCCTAAGAACGGTATGCTATAAGAGTTTTAGGTGACTTATTTTATAGATTCCCAAGATATTCATTCCTAAGACATTCATTTTATGATGTAGCATGCGTATATACCATGCGGTTTAACTGATTACAGTAAAAAGTATATATAAATATAATTTAATTTTTTTATATTTATTTTAGAAAGAAAAATAAATATGTACAAATATTTTTTTCCTTGAATTTTTCAACTAATCATTTCAAAATATATAAATTTAAAGTAGGAAAATGTCTATTTAATTAAAATTGTTATTTACATATGTTATGTTTCGCAGAATCATATTTACTTATTGTTGGTTCATATTCTGATTGTGTATATTTAAAGTTGAATGTAGCAATTTTATTTTTAATCACACACTTCTCTTATATGATAGTTATATGTAGTTTCAATTTGAGAAATTTCTGATTTACTAGAGTGAACTATCACAATTGTTGAAATGTCATTGAAGAATTTTATTTGAAATATGATACAAAGAGAAAATATATCACTACAAAAGTATATGAACGTAAAAGAGCAAACATATCAAGAATATAAGTTTTACACAAATGTGTAATTTTATTTAATCCAAATATCAACTAAAATAGGTAGATTAAGAGAAGAATTAAATTTGCTTTTAATGTAGAACTGTAAAAACATTCAGCCAGACGTTTCTTTGTTTTGTCGTTGTTGTATCATTTCTCTTATGTCATCTTCGCTCTCTTTCAAATTTCGCTGTAAGTATGTTTTGTTATTTTCTAACGTCTTGATCTTTTCATCTGATGTTTTCATTCTAGTGTCCAGCATATTCTTGATACTGTTTATATCATCCAGAAGAAACATCCGACCAACAGATTCATATATTCTTGTATTTTCGGGAAGATAATCAATTTCTTTCATAGTGAGTTCTGCTCGTTGTTTTGTACGTCGTAACTTGTCAATCTGTATATCAGCCAATTTTAGCTTCTGCGAAGTATCTACCATTTTTTCCTGCAATTTTGAGAAAGCTTGCTTCAATTCTTGATCTGGAACTCTTGTCATCTTCAATCTTTGATGATTTCACCTCCTAAAAATAATTATAAAACTAAGTTAATATTTTTATAAAATATTAAGCGACATCATATTCTTTTAATGTCCTAATTTAAATGTCAGTGTTGTGATGATATAAAGTGTCATAGGATATCTTTTCTATAAATTATTTACAAATTTATACTTCAGATTTTGTCTCTAATAATAAATTAACTGAATATTTGGTTCATGATAAATAATAAATTTAGCAGAGCTACATGTGTATTTCTTACTTCAACTGCTTTAATATTTTAGAAGATGTATATATGTGGTTTACGATGATCCTAACCATATACGTCAATTACCGCGTTGATTCACTTTTTTAATATTGGCTAAAGACCTCTCTTTCTTTCTTTCTCTTTGGTTTCAGGCCTAACCCTGTGTCCTTTTTAGACTGCGTTCGAAAACGTCACCCAAGTGTACCTGTTACGTTGGAGTGAGCGAGATAAAAAGAGAGGAACTAAAAGAGGATCCACACTACTGCTGCTGAACTATTACTGAACTACTACTGCCTTGGATAGACAATTCGCGCATGCGCGAGGACATGCCCCGATAAAGGCTGCGTTCGGAAACGTTACTCGAGTATGGCTGCGTTCCGTTTCACGCATATGCGCGCATTTATCTATAGTTCGTGTTACGTATATTGTAGGCAATGCGCGCATAATGCGTAAAACGGAACGCAACCTAAGTTAACAACATTAACGCAGTTCAGGGCGGGAGCGGTGCACTTGGACACGGTGCATTTGGACACAGCCAATTATAGCACCGTGTGATTAGAGACATTTGTAGGGTCCCTTGGAACAGCGACTTGTGATTGGACTGTGTCCAATTGCCCCGTGTCCAACTGATATACACCCGTTCAAGGCAGCGATCATGTAACTTTTCCCCTAGGGCGGAAACGTGAAAAGTGAAAAGTTTCACGTGAACTCGTGATCACGTAACTCGGCGAAACGTGGAAACGTGAAACTTTTCACGTGAATTTGTTAGCCATGAAATGTGCTGGCGGAAAAGTGAAAATCTAGTGACATGATGAATGCGGAATATATTATGCTACTACTGTGATGAGATACATGAAACATAACAATCCTAAAGTTATAGCGATGTTTTTAAGGTTAATATGTTTTACAGCCGATGGATATAATTGATTTGGCCGATATTGAAATCATGTAGGAACCATATTTAGTGATTTGTGCTTTTCACGCACAGAATTATTTGATTGCGTGAGCAATGAAAAAGTTCACGTGAAATCGATGGAGTGAAAAGTGAAAAGTTCCGCTCGAAGTTACGTGATCGCTGCCCAGGGGAGCGTTCCGATTGACCACAATACGATTGGACACAACCAACCGATGAAAAGAATTATCTAGTGAATTACTAGGTCGAACTAATCATTACAATCTGTGTCCAATCGTATCGTGGTCCCACCCGTAGTTCAGTAGTAGTTCAGCAGCAGTAGTGTGAATTCTCTTTTAATTTCAACTTGCCGGGCATCCTCTAGAGGTTGCTATCAATGTCGATAATTTAACATATCTCCACCAGTTTAGTGGCAACGGTTATAACAAATCAGATTAAAAAATATAATTAAATATTTTTTTTATTCAACTTTGCTTGTGAGATTCCATGTGTTTATGAGTTATTTTTTATATAATTTTTTTATTTATATTTCGTAGGACGTAGTTTAAAACTTTTTAGACAAGTTCCAAAGAGGTTAAAGTTTTAAAAAATAGACCCGGGTTCGAGTCCCGGCCTAGCAGAACCGCAGAACCCTAAAATAAAGATTCGTTTAATACACAGAGTAAGCTTGAAGTAAGTTGGAGTAGTTAGTATTTTATTACCGTTCAGCTACAATAGACAAGAAGGAGATTTGGTTTACATTTAGTTATATTTTGTACTTATCCACTCATCCATCCATGCATCCATATATTTTACTATTAATCTTATCTTTATTCTATTCTCCTTCGCTTGCCGCACCTATCTCTAGCCTATTTTCTCAAGTAAATTGAAATAAAAAATTACACTGGAATTTACACATCCCTTACACACACACTGAAAGTATTTTTTTACTTTTTACATTTTATTTACTTTAAATTACTTTTATGCCGCTGTATACATATTTTCAATAAAAATTACAATACTTTTATAATATACTTTATTTAATGTTTATTATATATTACTATCATTTTTATTTTAAAGTTTTTTATATTTATATCTTTTTGCAGTTCAGTAGATACATGGATCGTGGAAAAGCAGGAGTTGGAAGAGCTGGAAAAAGTAAAATTGCTCAACACCCTTCTGATTTATTTGCATTAGGATCAAAAAGTTCACGGAATGAAAGCTCTGATGCTAAAAATAGACCAGGTGTTGCTCATACAAAACCAAGTAGTAGTTTGTCAACTTCTGGTAAATAATTTGGCATTTTTATATATTAATAATTCTCCACTGCTGTTTAACATATCATGTTTACTTGGTGTGTGTGTGTATGTATGTGTGTATATGTATATATTAATAAGTACAATTTATATATAGGAAGTGATAGGAAAAAAGATGCACCATCAGGATCACTTCAGTCATTTCAATATATAGCACAGAAGAAGCCTAAGTTAGCAGGTCATGTTGGTCCTCATCAACGACCACCTTTCCCTAGTGCAGAAGCTTGGGAAGTTGTAGCTATAGACAGTGATCCTGCTGACTTTGTTCCTATGGCACTTGAGGCTAACGATAATGATGAAGGTGACAAAGTTATAGGGATAACATGTGGTGCTATAAAGACACTTAAAAATCAGAAATGGAAACCTGAAATCTTAATTTATATGGGATTATTGTATTTAGCGAAAATTCGTCCATCTATTTTCTCAAATGATTGTATATTACATGCTTTGTCGTCTTTATTGAAGAGAGATCAAAGTTATAATTTTAAGAGCAAGGGAAATCCATTAGTACCAGTACTAGCTGCAAATCTGCTGATGAAAGGATTTTACGATAAGAAAAACTGGCCAGAAATATTTGTGAAGGTTGTTCAAACTTACATCTTATGTTATTCTGTTTCTATGATGTTTATGTCAATCTATCTTTGCAGCTGTATGTGGAGGACGCTGCCGCGGAACGTATTTGGATCGATCATGAAGAATGCAAAGGTTTCGTTGACAACATAGCGACTGGTTTCGGCACAAGACATCCACCAAAGTCTGCGCTCCAGTCAGAATTTCCGATATTGGTGCCACGAGACTGTCAAAGTCCATCCACAGTAGATGACGAAGACCCGACGACCTCGGCAACGTCGTTATCTGTGGACAAAGAGAAGATAGAGTTTACAGTGAGTCCGCGATACTCACATTGTATGGAGAACATAGAGTCGATAGTGTTGGAGGCAGTGAAGGAGCAATTGAATAGGCGTCAACCAGAGTCTATTACGAGAAACTTCTTGAGACTACTCTCTGCGACGTGTGGCTTCGTTGAGATCAGAAACATTGCTGTCCCGAGACTGGAAATGTGGCTGCACAATCCTAAATTGATGAGACCCGCGCAAGAATTGCTCAGTTATGTATGCTACAACTGCACAACCCACACTCAAAGGGACGTCGAGGTCATAAGCCAGTTGGTGAAGATGAGGCTGAAGACGAAAGCTGTAATCAATATGTATTTGAACGGTGTTAAAGAACTGATAGGACTGCATCCGGAGAATCTAGCTACTATACTGAAACATACGATCTATAACGAATTATCGAATGCACGTAATCCGAACAATATGCCAATGTTAGCGATAATGTTTCAGACATTACCTGAACAGTCAGCAAAGTTGCTCGCAGAAATCTTTCAAGAGTTACTGATGAACCGTGAAGATTATCTGAGGCCGTTACGTGCATTGTTTCGAGAAATTGTGCGTGTGTGTCGGCACGACATTAATCTCCTTACTTTCACGCGAACGCTCATGTCCGAGAGAGCGGATTTGGCTCAGCAGCTAATAAATTTTGAATTCAAAGATCGCATGTTCATGTCCATAGCAGATTTATTATGTCTTTGCATGCTTATGGCAATAAGTCCGCAGGTGAAAGAGGCCGCGACTTTGTCACAGCGTGCGGACAAGAAGGATGTGACTTTAAAAAATTTTCAGACGAATGTATCCAAGATACAGAACGAGGCAATATCATGGTTACAAAACTCAGCGCAGCAGATGTATGCCATTGGACGAAACGAGCTGTTGCACGCATTGCACAAGATTTTGCTGCTGGAAGCTCACGAGCAGTATTATAAATTGGACAATTGGCCTCCCGAATCAGACAGAGTATTTTATCTACGGTTGGTATCTGATGTACCTTTGCAGGAGGCTACATTATGTAGATTGCTGCTGTTTGGCCTTTCGAAGGACAATAGTATCACTCATTCAGAGACAATGGATTTAGGTGATCAGTTGATACGACGAGCCGCCGCCAATTCGACGGAACATTTCCAGATGTTAGAAGTTAAAAAGATGGATGTGGTCGATCTTATCTTTAATCTCTCTGTATATCAACCACCAGGTACGATAAATATACCTGTGGATTATGTGCCACCATCATTGGCGATATCTAATCTCTACTGGAAGGGGTGGATCATGATATTAATTCTAGCTGCTCATAGTCCAGATACGATCGGCATGACTGTATGGAAACAATATCCGATTCTTAGGACACTGATGGAAATGTGCATTACTAATCACTTTTCATATCCGCCACCGACTATGGCGATCCCTGAAGTCATGGAACAGGAACGTGCCAAGGAAATGCAAGTCGAAGCTATCGAGAAGCAAAACATATTGGAATATGAGTCGCACTTAGCTGCGGCGTCCACTAGAGTCCAGTTGTCCGAGCAAAATAGTTTCCTGCTGTCGCAATTGATTTCTATGGATCCGACAGGGATCGCTAGGAGACCGCCTCCGGGCGTGCTCGAGCAGATACAGTTGTTAAATACGACTCTTCGATTAGGGCATTTGTTTTGTCGATCGCGAAAGCCAGATTTCTTGCTGGAAATCATCCAGCGTCAACAACAGAATACGTCGCAGAGCATGCCATGGTTAGCGGATCTGGTGCAAAACAGTGAAGGTTCGTTAAGTCAGCTGCCGGTGCAGTGTCTTTGCGAGTACCTATTGACTACCAGTCCGCAAACGGTTGAGAAGCAACCTAGGCAACAGCAACTTCTAGCCCATCTTCAGACTTTGCTGACCGACTCCAATGAAGATCAACAGCACGCTTATGAAGTTCTCGAGTACTTTCTTAGGAGATTAAGTAGCCAACAGAGTAGTAGTCGTCTCCAAGCTATCACCGGCTTGAGAATGATCTTGGATTCTCTAACACTAGAAGATGAAACTATGGATGTGGATGGAGAAAACGAGAAGTAAGTATGCAAGATTCCTGGAACTGTATAAAGAAATATCTTATGACTTATAATCTTATGACTCTTAAATATGCTTTAGAGAGGATGAATTTTATAAAAATTAGAGAGGATAATATATATAACTATATAAAGAAATATCTTATGACTCTTAAATATGCTTTAGGAAGACATGAATTTTATAAAAATGAATTAATATGTTTTAGAGAAAAATGGCTTTTACGAAAATTGCCATCCATACCTCATTTTTTGTCTGTACGTTCTTTACTCTCTACGGCGTTACGTGGTGCTTGTCAGGTCGAAAACAGCCCTGAACTGGTGCAAGCTTACATATCGTATCTGGCTACGCATACTGTCGATGATGATCTACCTGATTTAACTGACTTGGCCAATGAAATATCCCAATTGGTAGTCGAACGTAGCACAATTATCGCGGCCATTCTCCCGCAACCCGAGAGTGACAATCAGCTATCTAGACAAACTTTGCATGCTTTTATGGCGATATTCTGTAACTATCTTCAGAAAGCTCGTTTACCGAGAGGGGAGGGGTATCAGTGGTCTGAAAGTCAGGATCAAATTCTAGTTCAGTGGAGCAATGGAGAAGAATGTACTATGCATATTCTTGTAGTTCATGCTATGATTATATTGTTAACATACGATACGTCTGAGGATGATCCATTGTTCAATAATCTACTTGAGACGTGGTTTCCTTTAACAGAACCACCGAAGGCCTTCCTCGTGGACACCAGCGAGGAAGCGTTGCTTATACCTGACTGGCTCAAGTTGAGAATGATTAGGAGCAACGTGCCACGATTAGTCGATGCAGCATTGAAAGATCTCGAGCCCCAACAGTTGGTACTCTTTATACAAAGTTTCGGAATACCTGTTGCATCTATGAGTAAACTACTACACACGTTAGATGCTGGTGTGCAGATCGATCCAGGATCAGTAGGTGAAGCGGTATTAGACAAGACGTACATGGCGCAGTTGGTCCAAGTACAACACAGAAGAGGCGCGACGGGTGGTCTCGTGTTCGTCCAAGTGTTGCAATTGCTAGAGCCGCAGTTACCAGACGAAAACATCATGTCGATTAAAAAGCTACAGCACCCGTTGCCACCGAGTGCCACGGTGCAGAAACAATCCGTTATACACTGCTCCATCAAAACAGACGTACCTCACTTGATAAACCGACTGTTTATCGAGAATATCCCCATGAATCAGAAGATGGACGCCCATAGGCGGCTTCACAAGATCCTGTCGAAGGATTTACAACGTTCCACGAAGGAGAGTAGCGCAGTTGTGCTGGCGATACAACATATATGCAGCGTGTTGAGCTCCATGCAGGTCGAACAATTCTTGACCTCGCTTGTACACATACCACATTGCTCGTGCACGTTGATGCGTATGATACTGCTACCGCTCAAGAGGCCGACGATGTCACAACACGTGGTTGAGTTGGCACGCAACATGTGCTTGAATCTGATATCACTGATAGGCGATGTAAAAGCGCCGGTACTGTCGATTCTTCGGGACTTCGCCAGTGTACAACTGACGAAGGCGTCGCAACGTACAGAATTGTCGACGCTAATGCAGAAACATGAAAGTCCTAGTTCGATATTAGAAGACATGGATCCTGTGAATCTGGAAGATGTAGGCCGTAGATTATTGGATCTCTGTTTGAAACAACAGAAGAACGACGTCTTGGTCGAAGCAATGGCGAAACTGTTAGTCGGTGATAGTAATGAGGGTGCGTTGAAACCTCGTACGGGTCTGTTGATAGATTGGTTGGCCTCGGTGGAGCCCGAGTTGATTGGCATCTGTCCCAATCTTCAGATGAAGCTCTTATTTGGCAAGACAAAAGTACGTATTATTACTGACGGAAACGTCGTGAGCTCACATTCTTGCAGACCATACCTGTTGACTTTACTGACACATAGAGCTAGTTGGACTACTTTGCACAAATGTGTGCAACATTTGCTCAATAAATGCGATGAAGGGTGAGTGTAGAAACAGAATAGTTGTTTCTTCCTTCTTTTCACACACATATGTATACACATACGTGCATATGCACAATTCTCTCCATTTACACAAATGAATTCAATTAATATATGCTAAATTTTACTAATTTTTATAATATTTATATATCATAAATATTAGCACTTATATTTTCACGACTTGTAGATATGATCCAACTGCTGTATTAGATTTCCTATGGGCGCTGACGTGTAATCCGAAATTATGGCAAGGTAGAGACAAGTTCACACCAAAGCATTATATCCCAGAAGATGTCTTGTTGTTGGAGAAAAACCAGCTACTTCATCTAGTAGCATATATAGTGGGTGAGGCTGCTAGTATCTGTAATATGCAGAACAGAAATGCTGCTCTTGCTAAGATGTATGTCAGGCTGGACTTGCTACTACATTGTATATCCGCTGAAGATAAACTGATTCTCCCCGTGGTAATCTATTTAGCGGAACGTATGATGATGAATGACTGGTATAAAATTTATAATTACATATGTATACATACATGTTTATGTATATATAGGTATGTGTACACTTGGTTTCAATACGGTTTAAACTTTTTTCTTTGTTTTTTTTTACTGCAACTTGAAATGTAGTCGATGGTTTAATGAGAAAATTAGTTTTTGATCAATTTTTAGATGATTGTCTCGATAATTCTTAGAAGTTATTGAACCATGTGTTCTGAATGGATCGAAAACAAGTATTCAAACTATTTTGAAACCGAGTATACATCTAATATACATACAAGGTGTCTGACACGACTCGTACAACTGCTCGTTTTTGAAACTACTTTCATTCAAGTTTCGTTTAAGATTTCTTCAAATTATTGATAATTTGGTAACAGTAAGTGGTGTGCGATACTGGACTGTGGAGCTGTGCAATGGGACACTACAAAGCTTGCCATCCAGTTTCTTGCGAGTTTATATTTTATGTTATTTAATTAACATCTCAATAATTATTGTTTTTGTTTGCAAAATTTGCATAACTGTCTCGTTTTATGAGTTCTATTTGTATACATATGATTACATGTGTTGTTAGACATCCTGTATATTGTGTAGAAAGAAAGGATTGTCAATGTATAAGGTATCTGACGCGATACCGATCATGTGTGCAGATAGATAGCATGTCCATTTGAGTACGAAAACACCTGTTTGCAAACAATACATGTGAAATATCGACAAATACTAATGAAAAAAGATTGACGAATCAGAGTGCACGATGTTGTGGGACGGACAATCTTCTTTTTTTTAATATTTTGAAATTTTACGTGGTTATTTGCAAACTGTCAGGGATTTTCGTGTTCACATGGACGTGCTGTATCTTGGTACGTGCATATCTTGCATCAGACATCTTCTATAAGAGTCGATTGTCGTGCAAGTTAAATTTTGCGGATAATTTTTGACAGTAAAGTGATGCATGTCTCGCGAAGACTTGTTTCTAGATTTTTCTAGACTTTCAATATGCTTCCCAGATTAACATGCATGTTTAAAAGATGTCGAAAAGACTCCTTCTATGATGGATCCCCCATGACGCATTGCGCCCAAGTTCCCGGGGGCTGCTAAAAAAAATTGGCATCGACCCCGGGGCTTATTTGTATTATTTGCACCGGATGAGGAGGGGCAACGGTGGAGACGGGCATACATGGACAGCTGGTCTTAAAGGATAGCAACCTTTGACTTTGAGAGACTGACAGCTGTACCATTTGGTACAGTAACATTGTTTCTCTCTGTAGTCGCCGTGCGCTCGGGATGTCACTTCCGAACAGCATCTTTGAGCGTTATCTAGAGAGAGGAGAGTGTCGTGAGCGTGGAGCGTCAGGTAGCTCAGTGGTTTAGAGCAGTCGCTCGGCAAGCGAAAGACCCAGGTTCGAGTCCCGACCTAGCAGAACCGTGCTCTCGATATTTTTTTCTCTCTGGAGCGAAAAGATACGCAGATCTCGAACGCACGGCGTCCCGCCGCTACCTAGTATGCCCTCCTCTTTCTATCTTTTAGACATGCATGTTATCTGAGTTGATGTATCAAGCTTCCATATAAAAAATCAATACTTCCCAATTATTATTGCTTTGTTTAGTAAATTCACCGGGATTTTATGAAAATTTAAAACCGGTACTTTTATAGTTATGAATAATTTTATTTTCTTTTTTGTTATTTCTTATATCTGACAATGTTATATGTGAATGGAAACTGTACTGCAGTCAATACAGTTAGTATACGGTTAAGGTGTTAATAGAAGTTGGTAAAACAAGTTCATAATGAGACATTACAATATAAGAGAATGTTTTGTTGCTGGAAAAACAACAATTAGTCCACTTAATGGTGTACATATAGTGACTGAAATTGTTAATATCTGTAATATGCAGAAGCAAAGCTGTTGCTAAGACATATGCCATATTATTGTATACCTATTGAAAGAGTTAAATGATTAATATTGTGGTCAATTTAGCAGAAAACATAAATAATAGGGAATACAAATTTTACAATGACATATAATAATAATGATATATAATTATTTAATATATTTGACTAAAACGCTTAATTTTTTTTAAATTTAATTTACAGTATAGATTCAGATATGGCCCATCAGTTTCTGCTGCACATGTACATGAAAATTCCTAAAGTTATCTGTTATCTGAATACTTACCAAACGAACAAATTCGTCAATGGAGCAAAGATAACAGACTGGGTGGGCTCAGTACTGGATTGCATGAGTCATTCCTTATTGACAGCTTTGGCAGCAACGCCCAGGCAGAAGTCCTGGAACTCCAAATCTCAAGAATTCGAACTCTGTGCTAGGAAGATGGCTGCAGTACATCCCATATTAGTCCTACGACAATTGCCAATGTTAGCGTCTTCTTTGATGGGAAGATGTTATCTTGACTTCGGTCAATTTCGAGCCGGCCACCATTTGAATCTCTTTACGCAAGTCATGGGTTTACTTGAATTGCTGCAACCACATTTGTTTATGGAAGAACATGAGACTTCGTTGGAACACACCTTAGAAAATTACTTTCAATGTTTTCAAAATTACGGCCCTATCAAGGATCTCATCCCTTTACTGAACAGATTCGTATCCTTATTGCAATCATATATATCGCATGATCCACAACGGGCGATGAGATACTTACAGAAACATGCACATATTCTGCACGAACTGCAAGTACATTACCCTAATTTAATCTCTTTGAGAGCACTCGTGTCAGGTATACCAATGCCGAAGGAAGGAGAAGACGCGGACGACATTCCGATCACCATAGCTCCCACACCTTCACCCACAGAGTCTGGTGTTCCGCAGCATTGGCAATCGTTATTGACTACACTTACCAAGCTGCATGGCGAAGGTACAGAAACAGAAGCATTCTTTTAAGATATTTTTTTATCAAGCGATGTTCATGCGTTAACTACTATATCTTTGCTATATCAATTATTTCGAATGTGACATGAAAAATATCTTGCCGATAATCAAGTTTGTTTTTCGTAATTGTTTCTTACAATATTTTATATTCAATTATTTTATATTACGTAGATGTCTTCAACGCACTTCAGGAGATCGAACATTTGTCGTCGCGAAAACCTTTGGTTTTAGAACCGATAATGGACAATATAGCGGAGCTATTGGTATCGCCGCAGGGCAATATCAGGACTTTGGCGCACACTTTACTCGCTAGGGCGTTGAAGCATCGTCCTTTACCAAACGTCAATATACTGTCTGCATTTCAACGGTGTTTAGACAGTCATAGGGCGGACGTTCTTTTATCAGCTCTGGAAAAACTACCGGATATTGTACTATGTATGCAAGGTGAGATGACGATTCATATAATGATAACTTTTCTTCGATATTTACTTGTAACGAATCTCTTGATTTCTCTCATAGAACACGCTTTACCACTGATGAAAAAAGTGTTCGAATTGGGAGTAAACTCGAATGTCAACACGATACCTTACATTACTAAGACTATTGCACTGCTAAACACGCAACAAGGTTGTTAATTTAAGAGAATATTACTGTTAGTTGTGTACTACTACATTACATTCTATCATTACCTTTATCATTTATACTGTTCCCTGTCTATAAATATCAATACTATTATTATATATATATATTATCAAGTATGTTTGTCTTTATATATATATGTTTATAAAACTCTAGTCTTTTGGACTATAGATTTACAAATACAAATAAAAGAAACTTACAATATAAATTTATTGAAAAGCTTCCGGAGATACATCATTGACTGCATAGTTCTGCATGAACATAGTGATCGCGTTTCTTATATCCCATTCTGCTTCCTGAAGGTACTTGTAGCAATATCGAATATTCATTGTAGTGAGTTCACGTAAAAATCGCAGTAGTTGCTCCTTCTCAGACATACTAAGTACCGTCGGAGAAAATTTAGGAGCTTTGAATTCAAATTTTACATCACTAATGTTACTTGCAGGTGTACTATCGATATAATATTGATCATTAGTGATACAATATTCATTGTCCTCCTTTCGTATGATGATGAAAGTTCGATTGAACAACATGGGCGAGCAATTTAACGTTCGATATGAAAATAATCCTTGCACTGAAATGACTATATGATTGTCACTCTCGTTCAACAGGTCTATATAAAAAGTCTTAAAGTTGTGTAACGTCGGAGGCTGCCGCTGGAGTGCGGTGATTATCTTTTCAGGTCCACATAGCAAGAATTCATGACACTTGGCATAGTCGACAAATTTTAATAAATTTCTATTCGTGGAGAACGTTTTGATGATCTCCTTGTAGGTGTGGTTCGTCGTGTTACTTAACGTCATGGAATAAACCGCGTTCTTGTCGTACAAACCATTCATTACTATTCTGTCGTCTTGATCGTACAACGTAAAAAAGTGCCTGACGAACTGTTTGATCAAAGAGATTTTCGAGCCGTTACCGAGGTAATTACTTTGTACGCAAGGTACGAATTTTTTTTCCATTCCTATGACAATCCCGTCTAGCTTCTGTAGGTGTGGGAAAACATTCTTCACAGCGTTTATGTACTCCTGGGAGGTCTTGTACTTCGCACACAATGGATTCCCATCCAGCCAGAGTTCGCTTATCTTGAATTCACAGAAATAACGCAAGTATTCTACATCCAAAATCTGGTTATGCCTCAAGTCCAGTTTGGTCAAGTGGTAGCTAAAAAACTTGTCGAACAGTATGATAGCTGTAATTTTGTTGTTTTTCAGACTTAATTCGCGCACGGGCAACCTGGACTCTCGATTGTTACCCATAATTCCCATTTTGCTACAAAGCAGAACAAAGTGCAATATCTTTGGTATAGAAATGGGACAGAATATTGAACCTAATGCCTTCTCATTCTCAAAGTCGTCGAGGTTGAATATTTTTCTTAGTGGTTCATATCTGTTTTGCAGGGCTTGTACAATAATTTGATTTGTATTTAATTGTAATTTATGTACGTTGAAATATCCCAATACAATATCCATGCGTAACTCCTGACCACCTGACAATGTTATGCATAATCCTTGCTTTACTACATTTTCAATGGTAGTACCACTGCATTTTGCTAGGAATGTGCTCTTATTTTTATCCTCAATGGTATACATAATCGGTATCAGGATCTCTGGTTCACAAGCAGTTATCACAGCGTGTAAGACATCGGTCTGACTATGCAAAGCACCATCAAAGATAATGAATTTGTGCCATAAGTCCTTACAACTTGCGAGGGCTATCTCATGGCTATCGAAAGATGGCTTAGAATGTGAAAGTCGATGCGGTTCCCACGACAATTTTGCTAAATTAGAGGTTGATGTTGGTAATGCCATTGTTTAAAGAACCTCTCTCTCTCTCTCTCTGAGCTCTTCATATGTCCATTTACCTAATTATATAATGCTATAATATAATAATTGATTCTTTATGCACTTTTTTTTTAAATTTCATTGACATTTTCATTGAAGAATTTTTGTTTTACTGATAAACAAAGTTGTACTGATAAAAAAAGTAGTGTGCGATACTTTGACTATTTTTCTTACCGATATTTGCTAGTTCTACTTTTTCTTCTTATCTTTGTTGCTTCCAATATTTTGTTTCGTTTTGATAAAAAAATATTCAGAAATAATCAATGACACTCCACATTCACAATACCTAAAACCCGTATCAGACTACCGACTTTCAATGGCATAGGCCGACCCGACTGCTGCCTTTCAATGGCGCCGAGTCAGCGCCTCACTGTAATTGAAGTCCATTGAGATCCATTGAGAGTCGGCAGTCGTAGTCGGGTCGGCCGGGCTTAAGGGGCAATTGTTAGATAGCTTACCAAGAGATTGGAACAATTGGCCCTAAATATCGGCACTCTTATAAAGATCAGAATATAAAATTTCACAATATGCAAACACACTCTATATACTCGGCTGCGTTCAGATTCCCTATTCGGATGCACTCATGATGTAAATATAAAGGTGTACCAGTCCCGTGGACGCGCAGTCGTCCAAAATAATAGCTAATCAGAAATGCCCACGAATGTTAGAATCCAATATAGCTGCTGACAGTACATACGTCGTTGTGTGTTCTGAGCCACAATAGGTGAAATAAGCTTTAAGCCTTAAGAAATTGACCAATCACATTTGAGAATAATCGACTGTAATTGGTCAATTTCTTAAGGTTTAAGGCTCGTTTATAATAGCTGTAAGAATATGGCTGTAAGGTTGTAACGTGAGCTGTTAGCGAATGAAAATAATTCATTTCACGTCTTACAGCCATATTCTTACAGAAATTGTAGACGAGCCTTTAAAGGTTACGTTATGACTTCTGCACACAGGATGCGGTAATGCTTGCCGCGCGGCGGAAGTTCGCACGACAGCCAATCAATATGTTATTTTTCCGTAAGAGCTAGAAGGTTATTACGGAAAGCAGCATATTGATTGGCTGTCGTGGGAATTTCTGCCGCGCGGCAAGCATTACCGCGTCCTGTGTGCAGGAGTTATAATGCTTGCCGCGCGGCGGAAGTCCGCGCGACAGCCAATCAATGTTGTTTTTCTATAATGGTTCCTGCACACAGGATGCGGTAATGCTTGCCGCGCGGCGGAAGTTCGCGCGACAGCCAATCAATATGCTGCTTCCCATAATAACCTTCTAGCTTCTACGAAAAAACAACATATTGATTGGCTGTCGCGCGGACTTCCGCCGCGCGGCAAGCATTACCGCGTCCTGTGTGCAGGAGCCATAAGAGCTAGAAGATTATTACGGAAAGTAGCATTACTGCGTCCTGTGTGCAAGAGCCATTAGACCAGCCGACTCTTATGCAGGATTCACACTGTATCCGACATACAACATTCGATATCCAATAGAAGAGCTTTCTAATAGAAAATTCAATTCTCCATTGGAAAACTGTTCTCTTATTGGATATCGGACGTCGTACGTCGGACGCGGTGTAAATCCTGCATTAGGGGCTGCTGCGCCGGAGGATCTGGCTCGGGGCGAGCGGGGTCAGCTCGAAGGTGAGCTTCATTAATTAACATTTGTAATTATAAATCCAACAAGATTGATAATTCTTTTGTTCGAAATCGAGAATTTGAATCGAATCAAAGATCGCATTAAATCGTAATTACACGCGGGGAGAATTTTTTCTGAGTAACATCACCTCTTGAAAAATTTTGATTTGTTCTGATTAAGAGATTTATTTGCAACGTCAAGAAAAAGGAAAGTGGAATATTCCAAGTGTGAAAGCATTTCAAAAAATTCTTTCAACGTGAAAAATATCGCGCTTATTTTTTTTAATCCTTCAAACTTCTTCACTCAAATCGATGCATAAATCTAATCGGTG